ATTCTGGTGCAGGGTGATATATAAGGATCTAGCTTTAGTTTTCTACAAGTAGTTAACCAATTTGCCAGCCCCACTTACTGAAGAGGCTGTCTTTCTTCCATTCTATTGTTTTAGCTCCCTTATTGAAGATTAGATGGCTATAGGTCTGTAGGTTCATTTCTGGGTTTTCAATTCTATTCCATTGTCAACCTATATTTTTATTGGCTACTGCTTATTTTACTTTTTATGTTTTATATATTAAACAGAAATTGTCAGAGGTTATAATACTTGTGAGGGCTTTAAATTTATTTTATTCTAGCAGTAGTTGGAATTACTTCATTCAAATAATACATTAAATACTTTTAGTGTTGGGAAAGATGATGATGTTCAATGTGATAAACAGAAGCCAAAGTTTGCTGAAACTGAACCATTGTAACTGATAGGAAAGGAGAAGTAGTGGCTAGAGCTACTTGTTGGAGAATCAGAACATCATAGGGATAGTAAACAGTGTGGCAGTTAACTCTTAGGGCTTATTGATGAGAAAAAATATTTTCAAAGAAAGAAATCAATGTTGGTAGAGGCAGGTATGGAAAAGTTGAAGATGCGAGAGATTTTTTTAATATAGCAGAAAAATTGGAATTTTTTTCAGTGACCAAATGATAAGTGACAATGAAAATGAAAATGATTAGTGACTGCAGTAGTAACTCAAAGAAAGAATTCTTGGGTGTATTGTTATTATTAGTAGTAGTAGTAGTATTGTCAGTTCTGGTACTTGAACTCAGGACCTGGGCACTGTCCCTGAGCTGCTTTTGCTCAAGACTAGTGCTCTATCAGTTGAACCACAGTGCCACTTCTGGCTTTTTTCTGTGTATGTGATACTTGGAATCAAACCCAGGGCTTCATGCATGCTAGGCAAGCACTCTACCACTAAGCCACACATACCCTTTAGTTATTTTTTTTTTTTGCGAAAATACTGTACAGAGGGGTTACAATTACATGGGCAAGATAATGAGTACATTTCTTATCAAGCATTGTAGCCTCCTCCT